CTTTTATATTGGGCTTGTACAGCTTCTTGTGTACACTGGTCTTTTGGTGAAGTTGGAATAGGCTGGTGGACTATTGGACTATTGTGTTTGAGATGGTCAAGAAGAGCTCAACAGAATTGGTTGATGGAGATTGAGATGTGAGTCCAGAGAGCTGGGAAGGTGGAATTCAGTTGCATTCTATATAAGAATAATGAATCAAAGGAAAAAGTGATCATGAAGTCTAGCTCATTTAAAATAGTAATAAAGGGGCCTGAGTGATACTTCAGTGGATAGGGAATTTGCCTTGCACGTGATTGAGCTGAGTTCAATCCTTGTCATTCCTGAGCATGCCAGGAGTGATTCCTGAGTGCAGAGCCAGGAGTAACCCCTGAGCATTGTCAGGTGTGGCCTAAAAACAAAAAAATAGTGTAAAAAAATAGTGTCAAAAAAAATAAAACATGTAGGAATCAACTTAACAAAAGATGTAGGAGATCTATACCATGACAACTCTAAATCACTTAAGAAACAGATAGAAGACCTTAGGCAATGGAAAGATATTCTGTGCTTGTGGATAGGAAGAATCAATATTATTAAAATGGGATTTCTACCTAAGAAATTATATAGATTCAATGCAATCACTACCCAAAATCAGATGACATTATTCAAGGATGTTTTTCAATAATAAAATAGAATCTAAAGAGATCACGAATAGCCAAAGCCATACTGAAAAGAAATTGGGAGGTACATCATTATCTAATTTGGAACTGCGTTATATATCTGTAATGATCAAGACTGCATGGTACCGGAATAAAGATAGGCTCTCTGATGAGTGAACCAGAATCGAATTTCCAAGGACAAAACCACATATATATGGATAGTTAATTTTTAATAAAGGAGCTGAGAACATGAAATGGAGTAAAGATAGTGTCTTCAACAAATGATGCAGGGAAACTGGAAAACTACATGTGAAAAATTAAAGCTGGATCTATATATCTTTAGAGAGGAGAAGTATAGAGAAGGAAAGAAATTAAGGTGGAAAGGAAGAAGATGAGAAAGGGAAGTCAAAGGGGAATAGGGGGGGAGGCTTCAGTTATACTGGTGATATGGGAGAGCGGCATAGCTATAGTCACAACTCAACAACTCTGAAAACATGAACTCTAAGCTGCATCCATCAAACTTTGTAATGTGCCTGTCAAGGTGACAGGCAGCGGGTGGATGGAGGGTTGGGGAACGGAGTCTAGGAACATTGACACTGGTATTGGGATTGGTGTTGAAATTTTATGCCTAAAACTCAGATAACAGTAACTTTGTAAATCATGGTTCTTAAGTAAAAATTATGTTTTAAAACTATCAAGATTTGCGCTAATGCTATAGTAAATTGGTGTTAGATTTGTACAAGGATGTTCTTAAAGGCAATGAGACAGAGACAGGCATCTAGTTCTGGGCTCTTTCCTTTATTCATTTTGAAAATGCTCGCATATGGCCTATTATTCCCTCTCTTCTTCCCTGCATTGTTTTGTTGTTCTAATGAATGGGGCTTATACACACAGAGCTGTGGTGATTATCACCTATGCACATTTTAGTTGGATTAACTAGACTAATACTGTGGGTGGGGGAAGGAACATGGGGGTTTCTGCAGTGTTCACATAGGTGATCAACAGGAGTCATACTTCCTGGATATAGCGCTTGCGTGTATTTTAGTTGCAGTGCTTGCTGGGAATTGTGCCCTTTTGTTGCGATGCCCACATACCTGTGGCTGAGGTGAGGTTAAGAAATCCTTTGCAGTGAAGCTGCAAGTATTATTTTCAATTCATGTTCAGCACCAGTGTTGAATTCCCAAACTTGCAAAGCCAGCTTTCTAAGTTATGAACTATTCCTCCAGCCCCCACTATTTACTTTTTCTGTAGAGGCCACCCCTAGCAGTGCTTAGGAACCACTTGGGCCTAAACCATCTTTGCTCAGGGGCCCATGCAGTGCCGAGATAGAATTCAGGTTCTTGCAAACACTTTGCTATTTGAATTATCTTCCTATACCTTCCCTTCTGCTGCTTATTTTATTTCAGCCAGTGCTTAGGAGACATGTCCAACTCTGTGTTTGGGGGCACCGCAGAAATCAAACCTAGGCCTCCTGCATGCAAAGCATGTGTTTCAGCATTTTAAATGATCTCTCCCTCTCCCTCCCTTCCCCGTCACACACAGTGTTTTTATGAACTCTACACCAAAACATATTTGAAACATTATTACTAAGCTTCACAGGTTCATTTCATGATTATGTTCCATAACTTACATGTCCATAATTTGCCTTTTACGACTGTATAAAAAGCAATCGCCTTACCCACTATACTATCTCTCCAGCTCTGTTATATACAATTTTATTATATACTCAGTCATGGTCCTCCTGTTGTTCATCGATTTGCTCGAGCGGGCCCAGTAACATCTCCATCGTGAGACTTATTGTTACTGTGTTTGGCATATCGAATACCTCACGGGTATCTTGCCAGGCTTTGCCGTGAGGGCGAGATACTCTCAGTAGCTTGCCGGGCTCTCCGAGAGGGGTGGAGGAATCGAACTCAGGTCAACCATGTTGGTCGCTTGCAAGGCAAATGCCCTACCGCTGTGCTATCACTCCAGCCCATATACTCAGTATTGCTTTATTTATTTATTTTTGTTTGGTTTTGGTTTGGGGACCTCATCTGGTGGGTGCTCAAGGCTTACTACTGGTTCTGTGCTCAGGGATCACCCGGGGCAGTGCTTGATAGATCATATAAAATGCTGGGAATTGAACTTGGGTCTGCACATGCAAGGTGCAGCACCATACATGCTGTACTATTTCTCTGGCCCAGAATTGCTTTATTTTTATTCATCATTATTATTATTGTATATAATTCTGGCAATGCTCAGGGGTTATGCCTGCCTCTATACTCAGGATTCATTCCTGGCAAGTGCTCAGGATGCTGGGGATTGAACCCAGGTTGACCGTGTAAAAGGGAAGCACCGTAGCCACTATACTATCTCCCCAACTCCAGTATTACTGTATTTTTAATTGCATAAATCTGGCCAGCTTCTAAGAAACCTTTATTCAGGAATATGACTGAGGACATATTTCATATCTATTTACTATTCCTATGCTCTTTGTAGATTGACTTTATTCTCTGAGGCTGCCTGTCCTCCTAAGGTTGAAATTGGCCACAGACTACATTGTACTTAAAAACAAACAAACAAACAAACAAACACTCCTCCAACGAGGGTGGAAAGGTTTTCTAGTAGCTCCAGCTTGAAAACGCTGGCGAGGGCTGGGAAATAACTCCAAGGGCAGAAGCATAGACTTTACATGCAGAAGCTCCAGCCTTGATCCTTGACTTTGCATGGTCCTGAGCCACCAAAAGCAAATGCATCTTTAGGTGTTTTTTCAATTATCTCTGCCTATTCCAAATGACTCCTAGACCAGTTAGCATAACCAGGAGAGTGTAATTGTGTGAATGGAATACTTGGAACATGTACCCACCTGAATTCACAGGAATAATTACTGGTTTATTACTATAAAGTTGGGGGAAGATTCAGGATACAGGGAATATTTAGGTATCACACATGACAGCTGCAACACAGAAAGTGATCGATGGAATCGGACATTGCTGTTATGGCAGCTTTTCTTTGGATTAAATTTATGATATTGGTCCCTTAATGATTCTTGGAGTGTTGTCTTAGATTATCCTCTCTCTCTCTCTCTCTCTCTCTCTCTCTCTCTCTCTCTCTCTCTCTCTCTCAATGTATATATATTTTTGCTTTTTGGGTCACACCTAGCTATGCTCAGGGGTTATTCCTGGCTCTGCACTCAAAATGACTCCTGGCGGTGCTTGGGGGACCATATGGGATGCTGGGGATCGAACCCAGGTCGGCCGAGTACAAGGCTAACGCCCTACCCGCTGTACTATCACTCCGGCCCGATTATCCTCTATTTTTGAGTTACAGAGGAACCACTATATGGTGCCAGGGAGTGTATGCCTTGCACACACAAGGCCTGGAATTCAATCTCCATCTTTGCATGGTCCCCTGAACACAATCAGGTTTGACCCTGGTGAGTTTGGGGAATTCCCCCAACAAGTCACACTGTAGCACTGTCCTCCCATTGTTCATCGATTGGCTTGAGCGGGCACCAGTAATGTCTCCATTGTATGACTCGTTTTTACTGTGTTTGGCATATCGAATATGCGACGGGGAGCTTGCCAGGCTCTGCCATGCAGGTGGATTACTCTTGGTAGCTTGCTGGGCTCTCAGAGAGGGGCGGAGGAATAGAACCCATGTCTGTCATGTGCAAGGCAAGTGCCCTACCTGCTGTACTACCGCTCCAGTCTCCCAACAAGTCACACTATATCTAAGAATAAGAAAGGAATTAGCGGCATATATGAATTAATATCTTTTATTTCCATGTTCATCATAGTTCAAGATATAAACTTTGTGGTCTATTGACAACAACTTGAAATCCAAGAAAGCTCTTGCCAATTTTACCTCTTCAGTCCTTGTCTTTGTCAATTTTAATGTAACTTTATTTTGTAAACATAAAAGATCATTCTGTGAGATCTTCAGGAAATACATGAGAGCAAAGATAATATAAAATAACTTGACATTCCTACTATACAGAATAAACTTTTGGTGAACATTCTCCCATAATCTTTGTAGGCATATACATACATACACACAAATGTACAGACATACCTAAATGATTATAATTCTACTTTATTGTTGAAATCGCCACTTTAGAGTCATCAAAATATGTTAAGCTCATTAAGTATAAACATTTTATTTTATTTTATTTTAAATAAAGAAGTTAGTCTTGACTCTGCACTCAGGAATCACTCCTGGTGGTGCTCAGGGGACCATAGGTGATGCAGGGATGGAACCTGGGTTGGCTGCATGCAAGGCAAATGCCCTACCTGCTGTACTATCATTCCAGCCCAAATATAGACATTTTAAATTCTTGTCAAAATGCTTACTCTCCAAAATAATTTGTTGATTTTTTTATAGGTAATATCACAACTACATTACAGGAGGCACAAGTTCATTTCATTTCTCGAGCTATTTGTAATTCTGTGGATAGTTATGCAGGATTAATTCCTAATAGTTCATTTTGTGCAGGTGATGAAGACGGAAAGTTTGATACTTGCAGGGTAAGACCAAATAATTTTCATTAGAATTATTTATTTAAAGTTTTTTTGGGTGACATGATTTACAATAGTTTTAATATTTATGCTCTAGGTATTTACACCACACCCACCACCAATATCCCTCCACCATGATGCCAGTTTCCTTATTATCCACATTATCCACATTTCCTTCCTTCCCTATTCTCTTCCCATCTCGGCCCTTCCGTGGTGAACTCAGTTCTGTTGATTGAGTCAAGGGTTTGTTTTCATTGGCCATTGTCTGTTTCCTTGCTTTATTTCATGATATACAACACATGAGTGAGATCATCTGGCGTTTGTTCTGCCTGTGATTTATTTCACTTAACACAATACCTTTCAGTTCGATCCAAGTTGCATTGACCTCAGGACTTCATCATTTCTTTTTTTGGCGACATGGGCGGTGGGGGTAGGGGTAGGGGTGTGTCTTTTTGATGCAGGCATTTTCACAGGTGTGAGGAAGTATCTCATTGTCATTTTGATTTGCGTTTCCCTGAAAATAAGTGATGATGACCACTTTTTCAAATGCCTGTTGGCCATCTATATGTCTTCTTTGGAGAAATGTCTGCTTTATATATCTTGGATATTAGATGGTTTATTAGAGACTATGAAAAATTTCTCCCATTTGATATAAAAGTAAAGTAAGTAAAGTAAAGGCCCTCCCGTTGATCATCGATTTGCTCGAGCGGGCCCAGTAACGTCTCCATTGGAGATTTTGCTGTTACTGTGTCTGGCATATCGAATACTCTCGGTAGCTTGCCGGGCTCTCCGAGAGAGGCGGAGGAATCGAACTCGGGTTGGCCATGTTGGCTGTTTGTAAGGCGAACGCCCTACCCGCTGTGCTATCGCTCCAGCCCTATATAAAAGTAAAGTAAAGGCCCTCCCGTTGATCGTCGATTTGCTCGAGCGGGCCCAGTAACATCTCCATTGGAGACTTTGTTGTTACTGTGTCACTCATAGTTTCTTTTTTCTTTTTGCAGTGCAGAAGCTTTTTTGTTTGATATAGTCCGGTTGTTTATTTTTAACTTTCTTTGCCCATGGAGTTGAATTATTTAAAACATATCTGAAGTCAATAATTGTCTCTATTTTTCTCAATGTATTTCATCAATTCAGGTCTTTAATCCATTTGAATTAATTTTTGTGCATGGTGTGAGGTAGTGTTTTAATTTCCTTCTTCCTTCCTTGCTTCCTTCCTTCCTTCCTCCCTCCCTTCCTTCCTTCTTTCCCTCCTTCCTTTTTTGCCTCCCTCCCTCCCTCTCTTCCTACTTTCTCTCCTTCCTTTTTTGCCTCCCTCCCTCCCTCTCTTCCTTCTCTCCTTCCTTCCTTCCTTCCTTCCTTCCTTCCTTCCTTCCTTCCTTCCTTCCTTCCTTCCTTCCTTTTTTCCTCCCCTCGTTCCCTCCCTCTCTCCTTTCCTCCCTCCTTCCTTTCTTCCTTCCTTCCCCAGTTTTTCTCAACACCATATTTGAGGAGGTTTTCCTTTCTCCACTTGTTACTCTTGTTGTAAATTTAATTTATTTTTTATTGTAACACTGTAATTTGCCAAGTGATTCATGCAGTTGTTCCAGGCATCAAATATTCCAAAGTCAATCCCTCCACCAGTGTGCATTTCTAACCATCAATGGGTCCATTTTCCCACCCACCACCCTAGCCAGCCCCCTTGCACACACAACCAAATTTACCTTATATTATTTGGAACAACACAAAAACAAATAAAATTATCTCTTTGAACTTGAAAGGAACCATTCAATATGTGGTCTTCTAGGACCAGTTTCTTTCACTTACTATAGTGTTTTCATAGTTCATCCACACTAGAGCATATATTAATACTTTACTGATTCTATTGCTAAATACTATGCCATTGTATGAATACCTCCATCTTATTAGTCTACCTACTAATTACCCATTAATTGACAGATATTTGCACCATTTCCACTTATTATTACTGAATAATATTGCTAGAACATTTATGTGTAATATTTCTACATATAGGTAGCACTGTAGCACTGTCCTCCCGTTATCCATCAATTTTCTCGAGCAGGCACCAGTAACGTCTCCATCGTGAGACTTGTTGTTACTGTGTTTAGCATATCAAATACATCACAGGTAGCTTGCCAGACTTTGCCGTGTGGGCAGAATACTCTTGGTAGTTTGCCAGGCTCTCCGAGAGGGGTGGAGGAACCGAACCCAGGTCTGCCACGTGCAAGGCAAACGCCCTACCCGCTATGCTATCGCTCCAGCCCATATATAGGTATATAAATATATGTATATTTTTCCCTTGGAAATTACATGTAGGAGTGTTATTGCTGAGTCAATGTAGAATATTTTGAAGAACCGCCAAACTGTATGCTAAAGTGACATACCATTTTAAGTTCTTACCAACAATTTATGAGGATTCCAATTTCTCCACATCTTTGCTAGCCCTTGTTATTGTCTTTCTTATTTTAGCCAACTATGTAGGTTCATGAAGTGCCAACTCATTTACAAAGACCTAATGATGTTGAATATCTTTCCAGGTACTTAATTAGATATTTGTACATCTAATGAGAAATCTCTCTTCTTTGTTCCCATTAAATTTTATTATTATTTAGTTATAAGTATTCTTCATCCATCTACCTTTTATCTATAGCAAATAGCAAATATTCTCTCTGATCCTATGAACTACCTTCACTTTCCTGATATTATTTGTAGAACAAAGGTTTTTCTTTCTAAATGAATTCCAATTTGTTCATATATTTTTCTCGTTATAATTTTAGATTATATATTCACTCACCTGTTCTTCACTGTTTCTGTTCACTTCTTTTCAGAGTTGCCGATGTTGTGATCTTTCCCTGTTTCTTTCTGAAATCTTCGATCCACTTTTTATCTTTCCTGTGTCTTTTTCCTGAGAAATCTAGTTGATATGGCCCCTCAAGTACCAAGACCTCTGACCCCTAAGCACAGAGCCAGGAGTAAACCCTGAGCACCACTGGAAGTGGCCTCTAAACCAAAAACAAGCAAAAAATCTTGTTGACTCCAGAACCTAGCCATTTCCATGCTTGCAGTCACTCCCCACACACTCGGGCGAAGCATCACCCACGAGTGAATCTATTCCTGGACTGTGAGGCCGCACAATACTTCAAACCACACACCCTACCTGTACTCCAAGATTACAACACCACATTTGATAGGGCTCAAAGTAGGAGGCAACCAATCTTAGAGGGAAAATATGCATTTTTTTTTTTTACAGATACATATAAAGGCTGAGCACACAAGGCTCAACCTTTAACAACATGTTAGTGATCTCTTATAGAAGGACTTAATGCAAAAACCTCCAGAACCCAACCACTGCCAGGCTCAAGGTCTCTCCCCACATGCTTGGGCAGAGCCTCACACATGAATGAAGTCCAACAAAGCCCAGATGTGCGGAACTCTGTGACTGAGAGCTCTGGGTTCAAAGGGACCGGGAGTGGAGATCTTCTGCCTATTTCCCCCTGTCTCTGGCAACCCAGCAGTCATGCCCTTAAGCCACTTTGGGCTAGTGCCAGATAATCTTGTCATCGGCCACCATCCAGATCACAAGTCCTTCTCTCCAGGAAGGGAGCATAACATGATGTTCCCATAGCCATGCCACCAGACCCTGCTCCAGGCTGTTTCACTTGGAGTGCCCAGAGAGGCTTGCGTGAGAACCCTCCCCGCCCCAAGGGACCCATCCATGGCAGTCAAAAACTTCCATAACCCAACCGCCGCCACCCTCAAGGTCGCTCTCCACATGCTTGGGCCAAGCCTCACCCACGAGTGAACCTATTCCTGGAGTGCACAGCCACAAATCATAAGACACACCCTACTCATACTCCAAGATTATCGCACCACATTTGATAGGGTTCAAATAGTAGGCAACCAATCATAGACGGAAATATCTATATACATATTATATATATACTTAGGGCTGGAGCGATAGCACAGCGGTAGGGCATTCACCTTACAAGCGGCCAACATGGCCGACCCGAGTTCGATTCCTCCGCCCCTCTCGGAGAGCCTGGCCAGCTACCGAGAGTATTCGATATGCCAGACACAGTAACAACAAAGTCTCCAATGGAGACGTTACTGGGCCCGCTCGAGCAAATCGACGATCAACGGGAGGGCCTTTACCTTTTACCTTTTTTTATATATACTTAACATATATAGATATATACACACACAAAAGTTCACAGGGCTCAACCTTTAACAACATGTTAGTGATCTTTTACAGAAGGTCTTAATGACCCCTGTCAAAATAGAACAGTCTTCACACTCTTTCCCCTATGGATCCTTTTTTATAGCATTTTCAGCGGTTTTTTATAACAAACAACACAAAATATATTATTTCAGTTCTGCTTTGGGGAAGGGATTGGGTTTCGGGATGGAAACACACGAAATGTGGTGGGAAGGTGTAATGGTGGTGGGATTGGTGTTTGAATATTAAATGTCATCAACTATTGTGAACTACTTTATAAAATAAAAAATTTAAAATATATATAATAAAAATCTTGTTGAGTGAAGTAGTAAAGAAGGAAATATAATCAATTACATTAATAAATAAAACATTTTTGCATAAAATAATCATCAAGAGCCAGAGAGAGTACAGGAGGCGAAAGTGCTACCCTGGCATGCTGCTGACACTGGTTTGATTCCCAGGCACCACATATGAGCCCCCTCAAGCACCACTAGGAGTGACCCTTGAACACAGAGCCAGGCAAGGACCCTGAGCACTACCCAATGTGCACCCTCCAAAAACCCCCCATAAAATTGAGTGGGTTGGTCATTCATTAGCCAGTGTCAACGCTTGGAAAACTAAATTCTTTGCAAGATGTCAGATTACTCCTCTCATCCAAGTAGAAAAACCACACGTGCCTGAAAGAATCCATCATATATCTTAAGGTATTTTAGACAGCATTAATCAGTTTAAATATTCTAACATAATATTTATAAAATTTTGAATATTTCTGAGTAACTGTGCAAAGAATCCAAATAATTTGATTTATAGTATTCTGGTTCTAAGTTATCCACGTGGAAGTTATTTGGTTCTTTCATAAAAGACCTGGCTGAACATTTAAAAATCTATGGATCTGGGGGCTGGAGCAATAGCACAGCGGGTAGAGTGTTTGCCTTGCACGCGGCCGACCTGAGTTTGATTCCCAGCATCCCATATGGCCCCATGAGCACCACCAAGGGTAATTCCTGAGTGCAGAGCCAGGAATAACCCCTGTGCATTGCCAGGTGTGACCCAAAAAGAAAAAAAAATCTATGGATCTTCCGGGGCCTGAGTGATAGCACAGCGGGTAGGGCATTTGCTTTGCACGTGGCCGACCTGGGTTCGATCCCTGGCATCCCATATGGTCTGCCCATCACCACCAGGAGTAATTCCTGAGTGCAAAGCTAGGAGTAACCCCTGAGCATCTCTGGGTGTGACCCAAAAAGCAAAAGCAAAACAAAAAAAAAACTATGGATCTTCCTAACTTTAAGGTCTATTTAAATGCATATTTATACAAATACATGTTTAATATGATAAACTCATTCTAGCTTTATGGTTAATTAAAGGCTACAAGAAGTAACTAATACTATTTTGGGACTTATTTGATAGGGTGATAGTGGTGGACCATTAATGTGCTACTTGCCAGAACATAAGCAATTTTTTGCAATGGGAATTACCAGTTATGGATTTGGATGTGGTCGAAAAAATTTTCCTGGTGTGTATAGCGGGCTGTCCTTCCACCAAAATTGGTTGCTTCATCAACTCAACCAGGCAAGAAACAATGGCAAATCTAATAATATATGTCTCTTAGCCTTTATAGCTTTAGGAACTGTTGTCTTACTAACAACTCTATAAATTCTGAAGAATCTTTATTTTGGATCTCGTCCCTTTTCATGTTCTACATAACTATTTATTCTATTAGGAAGTAATTACCCACTTTGTTGTTACAATGTAAACAATTTGTGGAGCATAAGAAGAGTTGTGTATAATTTTCTGGAGTTTGTATAAAATATGCAACTGAATATTTTAAATATGTAAATTAATACTTCACAATAAGGAATTTATAATTAACATGAAAGCTGTTATTTTGTTAATTAACCCAAACTCTTTTTAAGTTAGATTTTATTAAAAATACTTGTAAAAATTTTTATTCTTTTAAATTATCATCTTGTTTTTGTTTATCACAGCATACTTGGATAAATAAATATTTGAGTATTTCTTAAATTCTAATTAAAGCACTTTATTTAAAGTTAATGCTTCTTCCGCGTCCCTGATATTCAGCGGAGGTAGGAGGCGAGACGACCCTGGGTGCAGAGACGTGGTGAGCCAAGCTGGGGAACCGGGTGGCGCGGGTCCCCGCTGGCAGCCTTTCCCGTCGCTGTTGGCTGTTCTGTGGGCCTTAAGGAGCAGTGAGGAGCTTGAAGAACTAAGTCTTCCTGAGACGAGTCTAAAGTCTTCTTCCTTTTAAAACTGAGCTTCAGGGGCTGGAGCAATAGCACAGCAGGTAGGGCGTTTACCTTGCACACGGCTGACCTGGGTTGGATTCCCAGCATCTCATATGGTCCCCTGAGCACCACTAGGGGCAATTCCTGAGTGCAGAGCCAGGAGTAACCCCTGTGCATCGCTGGGTATGACCCAAAAAGAACAAAAACCCCAAAAACCAAAAAACTGAGCTACAGAGGGGCCCGAGCTGGTAGGGCGTTTGCCCTGCATGTGGCCAACCCAGGTTTGATTCCCGGCATCCCATATTGTCCCCCAAGCACCGCCAGGAGTGATTCCTGAGCCAGGAATAACCCCTGCGCATTGCTGGGTGTCACCCAAAAAGCTAATAAATAAATAAATAAATAAATAAATAAATGAAACTGACCCTCAGAAAGCTAATAAACTGGGCTCCTCCCCTCACCAACCTATGTTATTCAGTACTAAAGAGCATTTCTGATAAGGGATATAGTAGGGCGGTGAACTCTTCCAGCTTTTGTTTACGTATATGTCAGTTAATATTTGGATAAAGCCATTAAATTAATTGCTGCCATCATGAGCAGAAGCAAGCATGACAGCAACCTTTATTGTGTAGAGACTAGAGTTCCTGCATTCACAGTCCTGAAACTTGAAAGAAATTCAAGCCATTCTTGAAAGAAATGTTGAAATCAAGAAGCTAAGTCGGCCATTTCTTAATCAAACTCCTCGTGCTAAGCAGGCTTATGAAATGTGTTAATCACAAAAATGTAATTGGCCTTTTGAATGTTTTCACATCGCAGAAATCTTAAGAAGAATTTCAAAATGTTTACGTAATTATTGAGCTCATGGATGCAAATCTATGCCAAGTGGTTCAGATGGAATTACCTCATAAAGGATATCCTACCTTCTCTATCAGATGCTGTGTAGCAGCAAGCACCTTTATTATTCAGATATTCAACAGGACTTAAAACTCAATAATATAGACGTAAAATCAGACTGCAATTAGAAGATTCTTGACTTTGGATTGGTCAGGACTGCAGGAACTAGTTTTATGACGACAACTTATGTGGTTAACTGCTACTACAGAGTACCAGAGGTCATCCTAGAACTGGGCTACAAAGAAAACGTTGACATTTGGTCAGTTGGGTGTATCATGGGAGAAATGATCAAAGGTGGTATTTTGTTCACAGGTACAGATCATATTGATCGATGGAATAAAGTTGTTGAACAGCTTGGAACACCATGTCCTGAATTCATGTGAATTCATGAAGAAACTACAACCAACAGTAAAGGCTTATGTTGAAAATAAACTTAAGTGTGCTGGATATAGCTTTGAGAAACTCTTCCCCGATGTACTTTTCCCTGCTGACTTGGAACACAATAAATTTAAAGCCAGTCAGGCAAGGGATTTATTATCCAAAAATGCTGGTTCTTGATGCCTTTAAAAGGATCTCTGTAGATGAAGCTCTTCAGCACCCGTATATCAATGTTTTGTATGATCCTCCTGAAGCAGAAGCACAGCCACCAAAGGTACCTGACAAGCAGTTATATGAAAGAGAATACACAGTAGAAAAAAGGAAAGAATTGATATACAAGGAAGTTATTTATTTGGAGGGGAGAACCAAGAACGGTGGCAGCCCTCTCCATTAGCACAGGTGTAGCAGTGATCAATTACTCTCACATACATTGTCATTGTCGTCGTCTGTCAATGATGTGTCTTCAATGTTAACAGACCCATCTTTGGCCTCAGATACAAACAGCACTCTGGAAGCATCAGCTGGACCTCTGGCCTTAGATGACTACTTGGGCTTGCGGGTTGGGGGAGGGGGGCCGGTGCAGCATGGGGAGGGATGGGGAGTCATTTAGTCATTGATGGAATTACTTTGAAAACAATTCAATGGTCTTATTTTTGAGTGATTTTTTCAAAAATATAGAGTTCGTTTTGTAATGGTTTATTATTTTAAATTTCAAATGATGTATTTTATTTTATCTTTTTTTATTTTATTTATTTTTATTTATTTATTTTTTTAAATTAATATATTTATTTATTGAATCACCATGGGAAAGGTTACAAAGCTTTCAGGTTTAGGTCTCAGTCATGCAAATATCAAGCACATTTCCCTTTACCAAAACTTATTTTTTACCATGAAGAACCCCAATAAAACCCCACCCCCCACCCCTCCCAGTCCCTGTGGGGCAGATGAATTCTAGTTAACACTCTATCTGCTTTGATTAGATTCATTGTTTCAATGAAAGATTCACCACTATTATTTAGAGTTTACCCCCCCCCCCCCCGAATCAGACATGCTGACAAACCATTGTGAAGTGATTTGCTTTCTACAGCTGGGTTCAAGAATTATATGTTGGTTTTGGATTTCTGCTATTTTACTTATTGACCCTAGAAGTATTTCTACTGAAAGTCAGATAGTTAAGAAATTGGTTTCTGTGCTCTGGAGTCGTGGCCGTGCTGGAGAGCCGCTAGTGGGGGGCAACTGGTGGCCTCGGTAGGGCGTGAAGGGCGGACCGAAACGCCCCCCTTCCCATGAGGTTTTAGTCGCCCCCACTCCCCTGGCTCATACCTGCTGTCCACAAGGCTCCCATGCGGCTGCCATCTTTCTTTCCAGAGAGGAGAAGGCGACTGGGGCAACACCCTTTCCCCTCCGGACAGACCTGATGGCCTGGATTAACGCATAGTCCGTTCACTTTTCTGCTCCAAGCTGTTGGGTTCTGCATTAAGTCCTTGTGCTTCTGGGGCCGTGGCCGTGCTGGAGAGCCGCTCGTGGGGGGCAACTGGTGACCTCGGTAGGGCGTGAAGGACGGACCGGAATGCCCCCCTTCCCATGAGGTTTTAGTCGCCCCCACACCCCCGGCTCATACCTGCTGTCCACAAGGCTCCCATGTGGCCGCCATCTTTCTTTCCAGAGGGAGGAGGGCGGAAGGGACCAACACCCTTTCCCCACCGGGCAGACATGATGGCCTGGATTAACGCATAGTCCTTTCACTTTTCTGCTCCAAGCTGCTGGGTTCTGCATTAAGTCCTTGTGCTTCTGGGGCTGTGGCCGTGCTGGAGAGCCGCTCGTGGGGGGCAACTGGTGACCTCGGTAGGGCGTGAAGGACGGACTGGAACGACCCCCTTCCCATGAGGTTTTAGTCGCCCCCACTCCCCCGGCTCATACCTGCTGTCCACAAGGCTCCCATGCGGCTGCCATCTTTCTTTCCAGAGAGGAGAAGGCGACTGGGGCAACACCCTTTCCCCTCCGGACAGACCTGATGGCCTGGATTAACGCATAGTCCGTTCACTTTTCTGCTCCAAGCTGCCGGGTTCTGCATTAAGTCCTTGTGCTTCTGGGCCGTGGCCGTGCTGGAGAGCCGCTCGCGGGGGGCAAATGGTGACCTCGGTAGGGCGTGAAGGACGGACCGGAATGCCCCCCTTCCCATGAGGTTTTAGTCGCCCCCACACCCCCGGCTCATACCTGCTGTCCACAAGGCTCCCATGTGGCCGCCATCTTTCTTTCCAGAGGGAGGAGGGCGGAAGGGACCAACACCCTTTCCCCACCGGGCAGACATGATGGCCTGGATTAACGCATAGTCCTTTCACTTTTCTGCTCCAAGCTGCTGGGTTCTGCATTAAGTCCTTGTGCTTCTGGGGCTGTGGCCGTGCTGGAGAGCCGCTCGCGGGGGGCAACTGGTGACCTTGGTAGGGCGTGAAGGACGGACTGGAACGCCCCCCTTCCCATGAGGTTTTAGTCGCCCCCACTCCCCCGGCTCATACCTGCTGTCCACAAGGCTCCCATGCGGCCGCCATCTTTCTTTCCAGAGAGGAGAAGGCGACTGGGGCAACACCCTTTCCCCTCCGGACAGACCTGATGGCCTGGATTAACGCATAGTCCGTTCACTTTTCTGCTCCAAGCTGTTGGGTTCTGCATTAAGTCCTTGTGCTTCTGGGGCCGTGGCCGTGCTGGAGAGCCGCTTGCGGGGGGCAACTGGTGACCTTGGTAGGGCGTGAAGGACGGACCGGAACGCCCCCCTTCCCATGAGGTTTTAGTCGCCCCCACACCCCCGGCTCATACCTGCTGTCCACAAGGCTCCCATGTGGCCGCCATCTTTCTTTCCAGAGGGAGGAGGGCGGAAGGGACCAACACCCTTTCCCCACCGGGCAGACATGATGGCCTGGATTAACGCATCGTCCTTTCACTTTTCTGCTCCAAGCTGCTGGGTTCTGCATTAAGTCCTTGTGCTTCTGGGGCCGTGGCTGTGCTGGAGAGCCGCTCGCGGGGGGCAACTGGTGACCTTGTTAGGGCGTGAAGGATGGACCAGAACGCCCCCCTTCCCATGAGGTTTTAGTTGCCCCCACACCCCCGGCTCATACCTGCTGTCCACAAGGCTCCCATGTGGCCGCCATCTTTCTTTCCAGAGAGGAGAGGGCGAATGGGGCAACACCCTTTCCCCTCCGGACAGTCATGATGGCCTGGATTAACGCATAGCCCATTCACTTTTCTGCTCCAAGCTGCTGGGTTATGCATTAAGTCCTTGTGTTTCTGGGGCTGTGGCCGTGCTCCAAACTTAACTATGATTTTCAGAGAGAAACGTTGGGTCATTTACTTCCCATGGATCACTTTGTATATAGAGAGATGTCGTGTGGCCGCGTGAGCGGCCACGCGGTTTTGAGGAAAAGTCCAAGTTCCCGCATACTCGAGCTGTGGTTGTAGAGGCTTCTGGTCACCGGGGTTCCATCTGGGGGAGGCGGGATGCGGTACCTACCCCATCTGGGGCTTCCCGATGATCTCGGCTCTTTTTGGAACCTGTTTTTTTTTTTTTCTTCGGGATCTGTGGATCCCGCCCTCCATGTTGTTCTTCTCTTCAGCTGAATGCTGTAAATATGGCGCTGGGGGGCGGGCTGTGGGCGTGACTTCCGGAATCTGAGGTTACCTGGGAGTTGCAGTCCCGGCACATCAAATGATGTATTTTAAAACTTTAAAAAGTTGTGTTTTTTTTTTCTTTTTGGGTCACACCTGGCCATGCACAGGGGTTACTCCTTGCTCTGCACTCAGTAATTACTCCTGGCGGTGCTTGGGGGACCATATGGGATGCTGGGAATCGAACCCAGGTTGGCCATGTGCAAGGCAAACTCCCTACTCACTGTGCTATCATTTCAGCACCATAAGTTGTGTTTTAAACAGCAACAAAACTGTATTGGTTTAAATTTCTGCATACTTGCTTAATCTTTTGCTGCTGATTTTTTTTTACTGAATTTGTAAGATTTTATTAAAGCAATTATGTGGTGACTTGTGTATATCATGAATTATTTAAGATGTTTATTTATTTTTTAAATTATAATTTATTTTAAATCTTTTGTTCATGATGCTATCCTTCAGTATTTTGTGCTTATCAGTGAAATTATACTGTGAGGAGTGAGGGAAAACAACCTGTAGCTATATTCAGAAATAACTAATGTAAATGGTGAACATGTTTGGAAAACCTCCCAACATTTGCTACTTGCCAATCTTAATTTAGTTATAACAAAACTATTGGTAGATAATTCTATCTGAATAGCAGAGAACATGTCTTTGAATAGGCTGGGCATCTGCCACCATCACCCTTTTTCTCCCCCCAAATCACCTGTCAAAAGTAGAATTAAAGAGAGTATGATGTTTTCTGCAAATTTGTGGCATGCTCAAAGCTTATGATCACCTAAAGTCAAGAGGATACTTCATGAATAATACATTTCAATGCAAATAAACAGATGGTTCACTTCTTTTAACTATGAGCCTATTTTTGTCTACACTGAGTTAATTTACTCAGACTGTAGGTCCCAGCAATGGTTAGAATTTGGTCTTTCCCTTTTCTGCAGCTTTGGGCCCTTGGACCTTTCCAGTTTCCTATTAGAGTGTCAGTCAGTTAAGCACCGATTCTCACGGCGTTTCTGGCCATTTGATTCTACCGGTGTAGCATAATCATTTTTGTGCTAGCTCTTGGGAGGTTCCAAAACATTGGCAATATAGCATTCATCTGAAAATAGTAGCACACAACCGTATATAGCATATCATTTCTAAGTATTGTTTCTTCATATTGAGCAGAGCAGACATAAGTAGTGTTATTTTGTCTGAGTCTCATTTTTTTTAAATCTGCTTTTCAATAAAACTTGCAATGTGGATGTTGAAAAAAAATTAAGTTAATGCTTCTTTTCTTATGCCAAGAGCAAAGCACTGTAGTACCGACAACCTCAAATTAACTTTATATTTAGGAAAATAAAATAATGTGTTTTAAGATTTTTCAAAAATATGTTTGGTTTTTGGGCCACAGCATCTAGTTCTCAGGGCGTGCTCCTGGCTTTACATTCAAGAATCACTCCTGGCTGTGCTCAGGGGATGATACGGGATGCTGGGGATCGAACACAGGTGAGCCGCGTGCAAGGCAGCTGTGTGGAAGTATAGCCCTACCTGCTGTATTATCTCTCGGGCCCCTAATGTTTTTTAATAATTATTTTTAATATCTTTTTATTTTTAATGTACAATTATTATGTTCTTATATTTATAAGTTTTGTTTTATAATTTGAATATCAGCAGAGAGTTATGAACAGGCTGGGGGTTTATACTAATACTATGAACAACTCTCCTGGTAAAGCATATTAGTGACTCGGTGGTAGGTGCCTGCTTTGCTC